TGGGGACACCCAAAAGAGATGAAGAGGGAGAGGAAGCAGACCCCCCAGAGGATTTTCGGGAAGGCAACCAGTGAGGGATGCATCCTGGCCACCTATGAGCAATAGTACCCAGTGTAAATACCGAGATATGTGTGAGTCCGCACCGCCGTCCAAATTCCACCAGGTAATTGCTAAGAAACAGAGGAAAACCGCATCCTCAGCCAAGAAAGGCACGAAAGGCACTGGCCCACCACTGGAGGTGGCCGTCTCCCCACCTGCCATCTACATGCTCGCCAAACAGTCCCCCTGCTCCCTCAACATGAAAATAAAGGTGACTGCATTACCATCCCTCACCACAGTCGCTGTTTCAGCGCTGTTAGACTCCGGTGCGACTGGGAACTTCGTAAGCCCAGACTTCATCCAGAAGCATGGGCTCGAGACAACCCCGCTCCCCCAGCCCATCCCAGTGCGCAATGTAGATGGAATGCCAAACGAGAATGGGGCCATCACTGAAGAGCTGGAAGCCCTGTTGACATTTGGCCAACACACGGAGTGGGCCCACTTCACTGTGGCAAACCTAGGGCAGCAGTCCCTTATCATCTGGCACTTGTGGCTGCTACACCATAACCCAGAGGTCAACTGGGCACGGCAGAAGGTCATCATGTCCTGTTGCCCCTCCTCCTGCTGGTCCCCACAAACAACTGCTGAGCAGACCCCCAAAGTGGAGCCTGGGGACGGGATCTACGCTGCCATAATCCCGCCAGAGTGGGGGCATGCCCTAAGGGTGATGACCACACCGTCCCAACGCCTAGCAGAGGAAGCCCAAGATGTGGAGGCGAAACTGCTGACGCTAGAAGAGCTGGTGCCCAAGCACTACAGGGACTTCCGGAATGTATTCTTGAAAGAGGCCTTCGATGTGCTGCCCCCTCGGAAGCCCTGGGACCATGCTATTGATCTAACCCCGGACGCCAAACTCCCTAGAGGCAAAACCTTCCCCCTATCCTGACCGGAACAGAAAGAGCCGGATGAGTTCCTACACGAGAACCTGCGAAACGGGCGCATATGCCTGTCAAAGTCACCGATGGGCGCCCCCATATTCTTCATCAAGAAGAAGGACGGGTCCCTGTGCCTGGTCCAGGATTACTGGAAGCTCAACGAAATAACAGTCAAGAACTCATACCCCCTCCTGCTCATTTCTGACGTCCTCACGCGCCTTCGAAATGCAAAGTACTTCTCGGCGCTAGATCTGCGCTGGGGGTTCAACAACGTACAGATCAAAGATGGCGATGAGTGGAAAGCGGCGTTTGCGACCAACCGGGGCCTGTTCGAACCCACGGTGATGTTCTTCTGGCTATGCAACTCCCCGGCAACCTTCCAGACCATGATGAACGACATCCTTTGGGATTCATTGACCAAGAGGTTGTTATCTGCTACATGGACGACATCCTGATCTTCATGTCCACCCTAGAGGAACATCGGAAGGTCATGCGGGAAGTGCTGGAAACACTGTGGAGGAGGAAGCTCTTCCTCAAACCGGAAAAGTGCAAGTTTGAGCGGTGCTGCATCGAATACCTCGGACTTGTCATCTCCAAGGGTAGTGTTGCCATGGACCCAGTGAAGGTCCAAGGGGTCCTTGACTGGCCAATGCTGACGAAGGTGAAGGAGGAACAATCCTTCCTGGGCTTCATAAACTTCTACCGTTGCTTCATTAAGGACTTCTCTGAGACGGCATGACCACTCCATGCCCTAACCCGCAAAGCAAAGGCCTGGACATGGGCGGAGAATGAAGAGCATGCCTTCAGCACCCTCAAGGCCACCATCACCTCCACCCCTGTCCTTGCTTTTCCTGCTGACTCTGGCCACTACAAACTCAAATGCAACACCTCCAACTTCGCCACTGGCGCCATCCTGTCCCAGCTCCAAACCGATGGCAAGTTCCACCCTATCGCCTTCATGTCCAAGAGCTTCACCAAAGTAGAACACAACTACGAAATCTACAACAAAGAAATGCTTGCAATAGTCCGAGTGCTAGAAGAGTGGCATCACTTCATAGAAGGGGCTGAGGAGAAGGTCGATATCTACATGGACCACCGCAACCTAGGCTACTTCCGCACCACACAGAGGCTGAATCGCCGCCAAGCATGGTGGTCACTATTCCTGTCCCGCTTCCACTTCACCCTCATCCACTGACCAGGGAAACTCATGGGGAAACCGGATGCCCTCTCCTGCTGCGCTGACCACCTGAAGGGAAGGGACCACAATGACAGCCTGACCCTCCTACAGCCAGAATGGTTTGAAGCCCGTGCAACCGAGGCCATCACAGTGGAGGGAGAAGAGGCGGCCATCCTGGAAAGAATACGTGTGGCAAAAGACTGTGACGAGAAGGTAGTGAAAGCCCTGAAAGAGCTGGGAGATGGAACCCTCAGGACAGATGAATGGAGCAGAGATGGAGAGTTGGTCCTCTACCAGGGAAAGGTATATGTCCCAAAGGACCCACAACTCCGCCACAACCTGGTGCAGCTACACCATGACGTGTGGGCAACAGGACACCCAGGGCGATGGAAAACCCTGGAGCTCATCTCCTGCAACTACTGGTGGCCCCAGATGGCGGAGTATGTAGGCCGTTACATGATGGGGTGCGACGCCTGCAATCGAGTCAAGTCATTCCCCTCGTGGAAGGTGGGGAAGCTCATGCCAAACAAGATCCCCACCCGCCATTGGCAGGTAATTTCTGTGGATATGATCGGAGAACTCCCCGAGTCAAAGGGCTACAATGCCATCCTAGTGGTGGTGGACCGCCTCTCTAAGCACATCCATGCAATCCCTACAGTCACGGCAGTAGACTTGGCTGGAATCACCTGACTCTTCCTTGAACATGTCTGGAAGCATCACGGGCTCCCCGAGGAGATTCTCAGCGACAGAGGGAGTGCCTTTGTCTCTCAGTTCTCCAAAGAGCTAGCAGCCCTACTAGCAGTCAAGCTGACCCCTTTGGCGCCTTACCACCTGCAGACAGATGGACAGATGGAGCGGGTGAACCAGGAGATAGAAGCCTACCTCCGAGTGTTTGTCAACCACCACCAGGATGACTGGGTGGACTGGCTCCCACTAGCGGAGTTCTCCCATAATAACTGCATCCACGCCTCGACCCACCACACCCCCTTCGAGCTTGACACAGGCCAACACCCCAGGATGGGGATGGAACCCACTCGTGCATCAGAAGTCGAAGCCGCAGACATGGTCACCTCGAGACTGATGAAAATGCAGGAAGAGGCGAAGGCAGCACTAGAGCATGCAGTGGAAGAGATGGCCCGCTACTATGACCGAAACCGAGAAGTAGCGCCCGAGTACAAAGAAGGTGATCAAGTCTGGCTCAGCACCCAAAACTACACCACGGACCGCCCTACCAAGAAGCTAGACCACAAATGGACCAGCCCATTCAAAATCCTCAAGGTCGTATCCCCCGCCGCCATCAAACTCCAGCTCACAGTGCAACAAAGGGGAGTCCACCCAGTGGTATCGGTAATGAATGTCTGGCCCTACCGCCCAGATGGGATCACTGAATGACCTGCCAACCCCTGCCCAGGCCCTGAAATCGTAGATGGAGGAGAAGAGTACAAAGTCGAGAAGGTCCTCAACTCCCGCTGGTGCTGCAGGAAGCTCTGGTATCTGGTGAAGTTCATGGGCTGGCCAAACTCTGAAAATGAGTAGCTCCCTTGCGACAACCTGGCCAACGCACATGACCGGATCGAAGAGTTCCACAGAGCACACCCAGACGCCCCAGGCAGAGAGCGAGAAAACCCCCTAGCCACTTCGAGGCGAAGTGGCTTAAGGAGGGAGTGATGTCAGGGCATGCTGCTCCACTCTGCGCTGCACCCTCCCATTGCCCCTCTTTCCCTTTCTCCTTTGTCTTTCCTCTTTCCCTTTCTTCCTTCCTTTCTTTCTTTATACAGATGACCTCCCCTCTTACCCATGTAGCATGGACGCATCCAACACCGAGTACTCCATGTGGGTACTGCGCCGCCGGATACGCCACGCATCCTCACTTGTACTTCTCTCCTCTGACACTCGGGATCGCCTGCAGAGCCATCTGCAATAGCCCAGCTCCACCCAGGCTGACGTGGCACCCCCCACGTGACCCGTTCCCACCTGTATATAAACCAAGCCGAAGCAGAACTGAAGAAGTAGCCTTCTTCTCATTACTGCTTCAGGCAAGTACCTTACTCTAGCTTAGTTTAGTTTAGCCTTCCATCCTAATAACAATCATTACTGCTTCAGCCTAAGAAGCCAGACAGGGACGCGAGCCTGAGTGAGGGCCTCTCACCATACATTCCCATCACTCCGCTGCCGCCCAGGCCACTACCCCCACCTCTCCTGCACCGTCCCTGACAGTGTGTCTATCTCGTCCAAGCAATACAAAAGTCATTGGCTGGGCCTCATGAGTTCCATGAAGGTAAGATGTCCTCTGGTTAATACAAGTGAACTAATTGCCACTGCCAGGTGTGCTACTGTCTTGAATGTGGACCAGTGGGAGAGAATTTGCCACTTAAAACCTGGCACAGGCATCAAGGGCATGAAATGAGGCGTCAGAGCTACAAGGGATACAACAGAGAAGTTCTTGGGATGTCACAAGAATCACTTCCAATGGAATCTCAAGCTGGCAGCATTCCACTGGCACCAGCAGATTGCGATGATGCATTTAACGATAAAGATGTGGGGATTCCGAATATCCCTGACCCACCCATCGTGTCAGGGTCCAGCCCTCGTTCCGTGACAGGGCCAGGGAGATCCTCCTAGTTGCTGGGGTGTCCAGTCCCAGTCCGAGATCCTCAAACTCACTGAGGGGGCTAGCCCCAGCCTTCACAGGAAATGAGTTGAGAAGAAGGGTAACCTTCTCAACCTCCTGTGAAGCCGCTACAAATGGGAGTCAGGAACTATACAGTTTTCAGCTCTTTGCTGACTTTCCATAATTGGCACCCCCCCGTGGGAAGATTCTGGGCGAGCTGCTCGCCCAGAAAGTTCCCATGGTCATGGCTGTGATGGTTTCTGGGCCAGAACGTTCCCACGGGTCTGCATGCATGCGGGATTGTGGAACAGTGAAGGGAAAAATAGGAGAAAATGGGGGAAGGGTACCTGAGGGTGTGTGGGGTCAGGGGCTGTGCCCTGACACATCGTCGCATGTCTGCAGCCTGTGCGATACAAAGTGGAGGAATTAGAGTCAACGGCTGGTAATGCTGCACAGTTCAATGTCATCAGGAACAGCCAACATTCTGGTGATTTGAGTGATGACGAAGTTAGCAGACACAGTAGTAATGATGAAGAATGGCATTCCAGCGATGAGTCCTTGTCCCATCCATCACCGCTGTACCCTGCTAATGATGGCCCTACTAATGTGGCACTATCAGACATGACTACACCACTCAACATTCCCCTCATCTACCCTGCACAATATCCTGGCTACATAGAGGAGAATATCCCGGACCCATTCACACCGATGGTGAATGATGCTGCTTCACTGTGCTCATATTCAGCTAGCCACTCCCATGTGGCTGTTTGGATTTTATATCTCATGGCTGCCTGGCTCCACTCCTATCACCATGTTTCTTTTCGAGTCATCGGAGCTGTTCTTTCCATCGTCCATCTCATTCTGCTGGCTGCACAATTCGCTCTGGATGACAGCTTTATCCATGCTATGACCCTGAGCACTGTCCACTCCCACATGTCCCTTGAGCCAGCTTTTCAAATCCTCCTGGTCTGCCTGGACTGCCACAAAGTCTACCCTGCACTCTCCTCAGTGCCTGAACTGTGTCAAAAATGCCAAGAGAACAATAAAACAGTTCTGCTCTTCAGTGAGAGCTCTGGCAAGACCACAGGCAAGGCACATCAGCCCAGGTTGCGATTTGCCTTCAAATCACTTAGTGAGCAGCTCCATGACCTTCTGTCTCGACCAGGGATGGAGTCACTCTTGGATAAGTGGAGGAGACTACCTGGGCGACGTCCGGAAGCTGGCCTCTACCAGGACATTTTTGACAGTGCTGTACCAAGGTCCATTTTAGATCCAGATGGGCAGCCCTTTTTCCGGAACGGTTTGGGCAACGAGACAGGCCCTAACCATGAACTGCACATTGGACTCATGATGGTGGAGTGGTGAGTCACCAGGATGCTGCTGTCTATGCATAATCCAAGAGCCCCTGGCATGCCAGGTTCTCATACCGACATTCAATGCAATCGGCCTCACATTTGTCTGGCCTGATCTCATTTTGCATTGCAAATCTCCTGCCCAAATTTAAGTAGGTCCTTATCTATGCAGAGATCCACTCAATCCATCCTCCCCAACAGGTATAAGACTTCCAATCTGCTCCTCACTGGCATCATCCCAGGGCCCAAGGAACCCAATCCGGATCAACTGCAGCGTTACATGCAACTGATTGTGAACGACCTGTTAAAGCTTTGGGAGGTTGGCATCCTGGTGAAAACGCCGCTGCATCCCAAGGGAAGGTGAATCAGAGTGGTCCTTGTTTGTGTGGTCTGTGATGCGCCTGCTGCACATAAGCTAGGAGGTTTTGGATCCCACAGCCATACATACTTCTGCACACAATGTTTTGTGAAGCTGGATGACAAGCAAACAATGTCAGCACTTGTAAAAGATGGTAAGGAAATCTAGATCATTGGCAATTGCTTTTAATGTTGCCTTGCATTCAGCTTTCCCACTCAGAACAAACATTGAGCATCGTTGCATGGGAGATGTTTATCATTCACTTCAAAACAAGAAACTCAGGGATGATCATGAAAAACTTTACTCTAATCACTGGTCCGAGCTTGCCAGACTCCCTTATTTCGACCTCTGCCATATGATTGTCATTGACCCGATGCACAATCTTCTCCTCAGTCTGTTAACTTAACCTTGCATATCCGTCCTCGAAACTTATTCTTCATGTTCCAGAGGACTAAGCAAGAATCATTTCTATCATAATTGGATCACACACAATATCTTGCGTCCAAACCATGAGCTCGAATATCTCCACTCCTTGCTCTCAAATGTGTGCTCACCATGCGATGACATGGGTGTTCACTCACTTTGCTCACTTTCCTATCTGTCAGAGTCAGGAATATTGTCAGAGTCGGAACACTGTCAGAAGATGGATGGAAGATGGATTGGTTTCTGTCTGAGTTGGGGTCGGAGGTGATGCAGAGGTCTGTTGGAGCGCACACGCACAGATGTGTGGGCAGAAATATGCAGCACGTCCGGAAGTGCTGTTCAAGGTTAGCAGATGTCAGAGTCCGCACGTCTATTCACAGTGTAAGAGTATCCCCAGGAAACTAGTCGATATCAAAGCTGGGGGGCTAGCCCAGCTGGCATAGTAGCCTTATGTACATGAGTTCTGCTAACTCACGAGAGCGCAGTTACATTGGGAAGATGGTAACCGATAGAAGCATGACATCAAATAGGAAGATAGAAGATGCAGGAAATGAGGGAGTATTGGGTAAGGGGTGATGTGATAGCGAATATAGCGCAATGAGTTATATCTGCATTCTAACTACGTAATTATCTCACGCAATCTCGGCTAACGATTACATCATTGATATCGCTTAGAGTAAAGGGGGGCCAGATAACTGGGCATCCCCTGACAGCAGAGTGGGATCACAGCCTCAGTGACTCAGGTGGAGCGCTGTGCCCTGAGCTTGACATTTGGGGGAGATCCCGTATTTACAGACTGACACTTATAGTGGACTTTAAACAAGACTTGCAGGCAGAGTGGACCTGTAGGAGGAGCGCAGACTCCATGAGCACGGACTCAGAGGGGGGGAAGCCCCCTTTGCAGAAGGAGGGACTCAGACCAGAACAGGGGGGGTACTCTAGTTGATTTCAGAGTGAGGTCCCTGAAAGTATTTACAAGGTATAAGTAGGTAAGAGAAATCAAAAGAGGGACTGGTCAGTCCGGTGTGGAAATAAGCGGAAATGAGCGGGGACTTGTCAAACTAAACCAAGGATGAGAACCCGGGAAATGGGAGGCAAGGAATGAATAAAGTCAAAGCAGATCAAGTACCAATATTGACAGAGGAGATGAATGAATAGGAAAGTGCAATAGCACATGGATCAGATGCCAATATTGGCAAGTTGAGTGAATGAAATGGGTGAACATAATTGGCACTCAGCAAGGAATGAATGATAAGCTGCTGAGTGGCAAAAGGCCAAAGGAAATGCAGGGTCGGCACACAGCACCGACACAAGTCCACGAAATGGGATGCAGGAATCAGCACGGAGCTGATAAGTCCACAACAGAGGGTGGTCCGTCAGTGCTGTCACAAATGAGGACAGTGTGATGGCCAGCAAAGGTACGGAGGGGAGTGTTGACCTGACTACAGGGTGTGGAGGTCAACCAGGAGTGGCAGAGGGCATGGAAGTGGGCAGAGGGTGTGGAATGCATGGAAGCGGAGCATGGCTGTGACCACATAGCAGGAAGCAATGAGTGTGGTTCAGATGGAGACAAGGCAGGCGTAGGGACTGGAGGGACTGAATGCTGGGAGTGCCTAGGTTCTGATTATTGGCCAAGTCTCATGCAATAAGGCAGGGGGCCAGACATCGGGTTGGGGGCTGGTTAGGATGGGTTTCAGGTCGGCAGATTCGCCTATCAGCATTGGTTCGCCACTGATGGAGCCCTGGGATTTGTTGGTCGTGACACTATCACTCTGTAGTTCATGGTTCCTGGACATACTGCCACTCTACCAACTGCTGTCAGGGAACCTGCTGGTGGTTCACCGACTGCAGATCAGTGGATGTTGATGGCGACTGTTTTTGGCCCAGTCACTGTGAGTTCTGACAGTGCATGTATCCTAATGTGCTAGACATGGGTCCGGGTCGGCACCGAAGGTCACCATTGCGGGCCACTATAGGCTATAATGGCCATGATGCTGTGAACAAGGCCCGAGGGTAGGGCATTTGGCCTCAGCAACTCTAAAGGAGTGCTGTGCCCCCTAGCTGTCTCTTGGCCCTCATTTCAGACTCACTGGGGTTGCCTTGCTTGGGGTCAGGACTTAGGAGGTCATGGTCAAATCGATATTAGAGCTAAAGTACTATAATGTATCATACGGGATATATATAGGAGGAAAGAATGAATGGAAGCGGACCTGGGCCAAAGGCTGAAGGGTCCAGAAGCAAAAGGGAACAAGGAGTGGGGTTGGCCACACAGCGGCCAGCAATGACTGAGGGTCAAAACAAACAATAACAGATAAATAAACAAAGGGGTGTAGGGCTGCGATAGCGGCAATGGCAATGGTATCAGCGCTGGACTCGGAGTTGGGCTGGAGTCGGGCACGGGAATGGTAGCAGCCCAGTGAGGGCCAAGTGGGCGGAGTAGGCAATGTCGCAGAGTCATGCTAGGTGTGGTGCCAGAGGCGAGGTACTCTCCAAAAGTGTAATCCTGTGTCATGAAATCATGAGGAGTCATGACATGTCATGAAATTTCATGACCCCTCATGACATGTCATAACAATTGAATTGAATCAGGCATTTTTTACATTGAAAATTTTGGATTTCATGACAGTTCATGACAAATTGTCATGAACTGTCATGAACTATCATGTGCTGACAAGGTTCATGACTGCTGGTGACACAATATGACATGATGCCTCATGGAGGTTCATGAGTGGTCATGATGTTCATGACCTTTCATGACTTGTCATGAAGGTTCATGCAGTGTCATGCAGTGTCATATGTTTATTTTGACCTTTCCCCATCATGTAAAATGCTATAATGTCCCATGATGCATCATGGACATTCACAATGCTCCATGAACATGTATGATGAGTCAATGCATGAGATGTCACAAGCACTTATGAACTGTCATGTGACAGACCTTATTTGTGACAGCACTGACTGATCAACCTCCAACTCATGGACTTGTGTCAGCACTGCACTGAACTCCACTTTTCCTCCAGCCACCTTTGCTGCTTGGTGTCAGAAACAGTGCTTGAAGGTATTTGTGGGAAGTGGAGCAGAGTATGGCGATGTGAGTGATCACTTAGCTGATAGGTTACTCCATTGCAAGGTGTCAGGGGGTTGGGATGTTGGTTTCAACAACTCAGTGGGAGTGTTGTGCCACATGCTCTAGGCTATCCTGTATTCAGGTGTAGTGGAGGGAACCTGGTGGCGATGTAGGCTCAAGTGAAGACAAAGTCAGAGGTGAACTATTGTCAGGGCATACCCTGCCTGACCCCACGCTGCACCATGCTGCCCTACTCCACTTCCCCTGCCCTTGCTTCTTGCTCCTCCTATCTCACCTTCCCCCTCACCTTTCCTTTTTCCTCTTTCTCTCTATTTCTGTTCTTGTCAGGGGACGACTCCTGGGTCTCCATGACCCTCCCCTATGGTCCACAGCCTGTGGTGTAATCAGCCCTGTCCAGGGCACAACTCTACTGTGGGTAAGAAGATGAGAAGGAAGCTAACTTCTCATCTTCCCACAGTAGCCACAATATCAGCAAAACTTCCGGGGATACCTGGAAGTCACATGAAGGGGTAGGAACTGGGCCCGGAGCATGCAGCGTGCGGAGCGTGCAGGAAGCGCAGCAGATGGAAGCGGGTCCAGATGCAGGTCCGGGTCCGGGCTAGTCAGGGTGTGTGCCCTGACAGTTCTATGGTCGACTTCCTCTTTCTCTATGTACCACCAGCGTGTGCCCACATACCTGGGAACGCTGCACACCCCTCCTGTATGTCAGGGACGCGTCCGGGGTAGAGGGGGTCCAGATGTATCGCCTGGCAGAAGGGCCCTTGTGGGGTGCGAACCGGGCATGCATGCTGGCAGGTCTGGGAAGGGACAGCAGTCCCTGGCCACTTAGACTGAAGTGGAGAATGTGTTATTATTATTAAAAGGGAAAACTATACTACTTACCTGAAGTGGAGAATGTGAGAAGAAGGTTACTTCTTCGGTTCCCACTTCAGGTACATTTATGTACATGTGGCTTGAGTCACATGATGAGTGCCACATCATCCTCGGAGACAGCCGCAGGCATCCGGGTGTCCCTGTGGGGGATCCCGAGAGTGTCCGCTGCATGCGCCCATGCTGGGCACAGCGGGAAGCCGTCCAGGGTGTGTGGGCCGGACGGGTCAATAGTACATTGATACAAAGGAAGGTGGTCCATGTAGAAAGGGGG